TCAGCTTGTTTTCCTTTAGTTCAGTCTAGAACCCCAGTCCACGGGCTAGTGCTACCACGTGTGGCTCTCCTCACCTGAGTTAACCTACTCTAGAGACTCACAGACAGCCTAGAGTTAGTTTTCATAGTGACTCTAAACCCACCAAGTGGACAGTCAGGGTTAGCCATGACAGAAGGGACCAGGATCTTCTCTGGGGGCCCCCCCAAGCAGGACCCTTGTATCAGGTCATTCCTCTTTTACTCCTGTCTGGTTTATGCTGTAAGGCATTCTGTATAGACATTTTGGTGTGTGTAGTCCTCCTTGTTACTCTCACCCATAATTTAGGCTTGGAAAACGGTATTAAATAATTTCTGCCTTTTCCTACAGTATTTATCACTGACAAGATCTCCAGCTTTTGTCTTCAAGTGGCCTTGCAGATCTTACATCACAGATTACCTCAGCATTGTGCCCATCTCTGTGATGCTGTAGTCAACTACCTGAGTTCTCGTAATTCTTCAGCAAGTGGCAGGTATGATCAGTCCTCAGGAGTAACTGAAGCTGGGATGTCCTGTGAGATGAATGAGATTGTAGTTGGGGCAGCTGCATTTCTGGGTAGTGGTGCATGACTTCAATTCCAGTCTCACTGTGTGGGCCTGCTGGCCTCAAACTCACAGAGATCCTCCTGCCTCTGCCTCCCGGATACTGGGGTTAAAGGTGTGTGTTGCCCATTCCTGACTTAGCTTTATTTTGAGATTTACTTTTATGTTTATGAAGTTGTGCCTAAATGTATATATGTGTACCACATGTACCAGTGCCCTTGAGGCCAGAAGAGGGCGTCAGAGCCTTGGGAGCTGGAGTTGTAGATAGCTGGAAGTTGCCTCGTGGGTGCTGGAAACTGAACTTCTTGGGTCCTCTGCAAGAGTACAGCATACTCTTAACCACTGAGCCATCTCTCAAGCTCCAGTCTCATCTTCATCTGTGTGTGACAGGGTCTCACGGGGTAGCATCAGCTGGCTTGGAACTCACTATATAGACCAGGCGGGTCTTGAACTTACCTGTTTCTGCCTCTTGAATGCTGTAATTAAAGGTGTGTACCACCAAGCCCAGCTATTTAAAAAAGTACTTTATTTTTCTTCATTTGTATGAGTGTTTCACCTATATATTGTGCGGAGGGCAGAAGAGGGCTTCTGGAACCAGGTCCTCTGCAGGAACAGTGAGCTGCTTAGCCAGTGAGCCGCTTAGCCAGTGAGCTGCTTAACCAGTGAGCCACGTCTCCAGCCCAGTCTCACTCTGCTTACCTCTAGCCCTCTGCTCCTGTTTCTTCGGGATCAGACGAGCTCCAGACTCTTGGAGCAGGTGCTGCTGGTATTAGACCCAGCGAGGCTCCAGCGCCTCTTTGAGGATCACTTCCAGGGTCAGCTGCATTCCTTGGCTGCACATCCCATTGCTAATTTCCCTCTGCAGCGCTTACTGGATGCAGTCACTTCCCCTGAGCTGGTGAGTTGGAAATGCAGCCTGCTCTCTTTCTGCTATTTTTACTCATTGGACCTTACTTACTTATTTACATAGTTATTTGGTTTTCAGAGACAGGGTTTCTCTGTGTACACTGACTGTCCTAGAACTCAGTCTGTAAACCAGGCTCACCTTAAACTCACAGAGATCCGCCTGCCTCTGCCTCCCTAGTGCTGGGATTAAAGGCGTGCGCCACCACCCGGCTTTTGAGCCTTATTTTACTGTGTGCTTGTCACTGTGCGTCTCTGACAATTGACTGCTCATTGTCCACGTGAAGTCAGCCCTTCTCCTAGAGCTTTGTTTTAGCTTCTCAGTCTTAGTTCAGCTGGACATTGTGCGGCTTCTTGTCTGTAAATCCGCAGAGCACTGAAACCATTCTGTAGCTTCTCTCTACCTGTGTTGCTTACCGTGGGAGAGTGGGGGTTGGTGCCTGTGGTCCCTCGGGTTGACACATGGAGTAGAAGGGCAGGTTTAATTCTACACTTGCCTTGCCCTTGGTTCTCTGTGACTTCTGCAGAAGGGACATTTGAAATCTTCCCCTATAGGGTAATGTCTTTATGACTCCTGGGTTTTACACAGCACAGTGAAAATTCTGATGTTGGCAATGGTTTTTACGTCTTATGTAGCTTTTTTTTTAATTGACTGAACGTCCCCCATTCTTCAATCCTGCTTTCCTCTCAGCTATCCCTTGTGTTTGAGGAGCTGAGCCCTGCCCTGGAAGCTGTGCTGGCCCAGGGCCACCCAGGGGTAGTTGTGGCTCTGGTAGAAGCCTGCCGCAGGGTTGGTGCTCACCAAGCCCAGGTCTTGCAGCTGCTATTGGAGGTGAGTGGGTTTTACTTACAGCCCGGTCATGCCCTTCCTTGATGTAACTCTGCTAGTTAGCATTTGTCTACTTTGGGTGTGACAAGTTTAATGCTGAGGGAATTATAGATACACGGACAGCTGAGTCCAAGAACAGTTCTGATATGAAATTTACCCTCCTGAACTTGGAGAACTTTGAGAGATAAATGTGGATTCAGTCCCTGCAAGTGCAGAGGCCAGGAAGCAGATCAAGGTGAGCGAGACTGCCCATAGAGCGTCCTTTCCTGTTGAGCTGGGCCTCCCTTTGCCCGCACATCTCTGTCTAGGTCATTGTGTTAGGGATGGCACTGCTCAGGGGAGTCATTGTGCTTTGTCTTCTGTGTAGGCATTCCACTGTGCAGAGCCCTCGTCCCGGCAAGTAGCCTGCGCGCCTCTCTTTGCCTCTTTGTTGTCTTATGAGGTATATTATGAACTAGCAGAAGAGGAGGGGGCAGTACCTGCAGAGCATCAGGTAAGGTGGGGAGGGGCCACACCCGTGAATATTTGGGGGCCGGGCTCCTTAAAGCTTAGTAGCCCTTTGGGTTAAGTTGATGAGATTTCTAACCTTTTGGAAGAAAAGGTGGCAGAGCCCTGGGGACGAGCTCACCCATCTGGTTTGGTAACTGCCTCCTAATTCCTTATTACTGCACTCCCAGGTAGAAATGGCCACGACCAGAGCTCTGAGGGAAGTGACAGTACTTGGATCTCTACTGCTTCAGCATTTATTGTATTTCTCCAACCCTGGACTTGTACTTCGAAGTCTGAGCGCCTTGACAGGACCACAGCTCCTGGCTCTGGCCCAGAGCCCCGCTGGCTCTCATGTATTTGATGCCATCCTGACTAGCCCCTCTGTGACCCACAAGCAGCGCCGTCGTGTGCTGAAGACACTGAAGGTCAGACTCTGCTCTGGTCCCTCCATCACTGCCATAGAGAAAACCAGCTTCATTTAATTCACTCAGGACTGGGCCTGAGAGCTGGGGCCAGGATACATACATAGTTCCTGTGCGGGTTTTGTTTGTTTGTTTGTTTGGTTTTGGTTTTTCTAGACAGGGTTTCTCTGTGACTTTGGAGCCTGTCCTGGAACTAGCTTTAGTAGACCACGCTGGTCTCGAACTCAAAGAGATCCGCCTGTGTCTGCTTCCCGAGTGCTGGGATTAAAGGTGTGAGCCACTACTGCCGCCTTTCCTGTGCTGTTTTTTTTTTTTTTTTTTTTTTTTGGTTTTTACGAGACAGGGTTTCTCTGTATTGTTTCAGAGGCTATCGGTCCAACCCGGCCTCGAACTCACAGAGATCCACCTGCCTCTGCCTCCCGAGTGCTGGGATTAAAGGCGTGCGCCACCACCGCCCAGCCTTTCCTGTGCTGTTTTAACTGTGCCTCTCTAGTCTTCTGAGATCACACTTCCACTCCTAAAAAATGCTTGTATACTTCCCTTGAGGGACTTCTTTGATGTCTCTATGCAGGGACATTATGTGTGTATACTTCCCTTGTGGGACTTCTTTGATGTCTCTATGCAGGGACATTATGTGCCTCTTGCCTGTAGCCGCCACGGCAGCCGTGTATTAGATGCCATCTGGAGTGGAGCAACTTTGGGGGCCCGGAAGGAGATTGCTGCTGAACTGGGTGAGTACCACTGCCACTGGTGATGTCAAAAGGACGATCTGGTTCTGAGTTCTCCGTGGTCTGCTTTTGACTTCTCCCTGCAGACTCATCGTGCAGTCCTTCAGCCATTTCTCTGGCTATAATGCTGTAGTGGGTGAGCTGTAAGGGATCTTTCTTTGGGCCACCAACTCACAAATAACGACATGGAGACTTCTTAATTATGAAAGCTCAGCCTTAGCTTAGGCTTGTGTTTAACTAGCTCTTGTAACTTACATTAACCCACTTTTACTAATCTACATTCTGTTGTGTACTGTTTCTTCTGCTTCCCCATGTCTCCCTGCATCTCTCCTGGGCCTAGATTCATCTCCTACTTCTCTCTCTCTCTGGAAGTCTTGCCTATACCTCCTGCCTAGCTATTGGCTGTTCAGCTCCTTACTAAGCCAATCACAGCAATGTGTCTTCACACAGTGTATACATACCCCACAACAGTGTTTGTTATTCCTATTTTAGGCGCAGGGTTGGGGGAAATGGAGGGCCTTCACCTCAAGTAGAATGTTTTTGAGCATGGGCGACACTAAACACAGGTGGTTCTCTTTGCAGGAGAGCAGAACCAAGAGTTGATTCAAGATGCTTTTGGCCACCATGTGGCCCGAAATGTGGCCCTGACCACCTTCTTGAAGCGGCGAGAGACTTGGGAACAGCAACAGAGTGCTGTGGCCAAGCGGAGACGGGCATTGAACTCTATACTTGAAGACTGAGGCCTCACGGCCTGGGACAGGTGTTGATGAGAGGGTGAAAGGATGTGCTTGTCTTTCCTCTTCAAGTTGGATCACAAGTTCCATTGGAGCAGATGTAGTAACACAACTGTAAACCTACTGCTCATAAGGTTGAAACAAGAGTATCAAGAATTCACTGGGATTAAAGATATGCCAACAAGTACCCCCCAAAAAAGTCAAGAATTCCAGGCTAGCCTGGGCTATGGCAGCCAATCCTGTTCATCCCTATGTCTATCTGTGTCTGTCCATTCTCCCCTCCCCTGCCTTCGGGCATATTGGTAAAAATTTTTGTATTTTGTGGGGGGATGTTTTTATTTTTTAGGGGTAAGTTATCTCAAGGTAAAGCTAGGGACAGTTGTCATTGGTATGGGGGATCTTTGGGATAGGAGTCAGTAAGAATCTAGATGTAGCAGCAGTTATGGTGAGATCAGGATGCCATCGGACAAGGTTGTGGTTCTGCAGGTTAAGTAGAAGGCAGGAGATGTAGGTAAGATAGGCAGCATCCTCAGGAAATGTGCAGACTAGAGAACCAAGGCAGCATGCTGTGGGTTCCGTTCTGAGGGAGTCAAACACTGCAGACGCCTTACAGCTCTCGTGTCTCTTGGAATCAGTCTCAGGGCGCATGCTCAAAGCCTTCTTCATTACGAGTGGAGGTGATTCTGCTTGTGCCACTGCCACCGCTCAGCCCCCTCCACCAGGTGGCGCAGGGTAGATGAAATTCCCAGCAGCATATGACCCAGGCCTTGCAGCAGTGAGGAAGTCCATCGGAGGAGCTCCCTGCAGGGCAGGGGTGAGAAGAGCCAAATGATTAAGGGAAAGCTGAGAGGGGAGCTTGGGGTGGGGATGGGGTTCACACAGGAGAGCTTTTGGGGTATGTGGGTACAAGAGGCGGAACTTGAACTTTCAACTGTAGGGTTGTAGGACATGTTGATCTCTGACCTGAGTACTTTTTTGGGTCCAACTCCTTGAAAGTCACAGCTCATGGAGTAGAGCCCATAGAATGTAGCTTTGACGTTCAGGCTGCCGAAGAGGTCTCGAGGATTTTGCTTGTACACATCAAAGGTGATGCGGGCAATGTCCTGACTGTGTTTTGGCTTCTCCCGTCCTATGCCGTATGACAACATCCCACTCTGTGGGACATCCCATCATTGAAGTAGGCTTTCCTTCATACCCTGATATCTATTGCCAATCCTGTCACTACTGGATCAGACCCCTTTTGCTTCCCCAGTATTGTCTAATGTTTGATGCCCTTCCCAACTCCCCCAGTACCTCTGCCCCAAGATCAGTGATAGGCTAGGGAGGCTGGGAGAACTAGAAAGGGTTGGTGACCTCACAGTCCACAGTGGGCCTCACCCTGGGGCTCCAGCTCTGTCCCAGCTCTAGCACCATCAAACACGAGTCATCCTCCAGCATCCGGAAGAAGTCCTCACTCTCCACGGCAGTCCCGTCCTCCTCCAGCACCAGGGTCAGCACTCCGCTAAGCAGCAGGGCCTCCAGAGCCTGCCAGTCACAGTGGTAGGAGGGAAGGGGCGGGTCTTGCCCCATGCCCCTCCTCTCTTTAGTTGACCCATCAGCCCTAGACGCTGGTGTCTCAGCTCTGCTTCCTTATTTGCCATCTTCCCTGTGCTGTTTTGTTTTTGAGGCAGTGTTTGTGTGGTTCAGCCTGCTCCCAAACTCAGCAATTTTGTGTTAGCCTCCTCGGTCCTGGGACTGCAGATGTTAGCATTTTGCCTCATCTGTTGTAAACATGGCAGTTCTTATTTGGGTTTTTTGAGTTGTTGATAGACCCTCACTAGAGGCAGACCTTTTTCTTTAATTTTGCTCCTGTTCATCTACCCTTGCTACCCTCTAAGCCATTCCCACTGACATTAAATGACAAATCAGTCCTAGCCAGATGTGGTAACACACCTACAGTCAGTCCTAACTGCTCGGGAGGCAGAGGCAGGGGGACCACTGGAGCTCAGAAATTTAAGGCCAGACAGCAGTTTTGGACCCTGACTCCAAGTATGAATAAAAAGCAATACAAAATCTGACAGATGAAATCTACCTTACCTATGTTCTCTTACTATACTGTTTTCCATGTCATCCTTCCTGTTCTACGGCTGTTTTCAGGGTTAGCACTGTTTAACCATTCTGAGGCCAAGAGAAAAGAAATGTTAGGGTTAAATTAAATGGGTATTAAAAGAGATATTAGGGTTGAGTCAGGAATAAGAGGGCTCCAGCTGGCATGAGACAGTAAGGTGACCAGGCAGGGCAGGGCTCTGACTGGCTCCTGTGAGGCCCTCCTGAGGAACATACACAGACACGGTTGCTTTGACTCATTCTAATGCATCTGACTGCAACAGACTCAGTGTTCAGGTAGATTCTAAGTCATCACCCTGTAGAGACGGGAGGCTACAGCTGCATCTTAGCAGAGCATTCTGAGGACTCTGGTTAAACATCCTTGGAGCTGCATGTGGGCTGTTCCTCTGCATTAGGAACGTCCCGGGGTTCCTGCCAGCATGTGCACACTAACAAGCAGTCTGTATCTTCTAAAGACCACCTCATACAACTTACCTTGCAGACTGACATACCTTCCTTTAAAAATTTGTTTTATGTATTTTTTTAAGCTGCCTGTGTGTGTGCATGCGCGCCTGTGTTGGTTATATGCATAGGGACCAGAAGACCTGTGGCTCCTCTAGAGCTGAAGTTACATTGGTTGTGAGCCACCAGGTGGGTGCTGGGAACTCAACCCTGATCCTCTGCAAAAAGCATCTTCTGCTGAGTCATCTTCCCAGTCGTCATGCCCCCCCTCCACCACCCCCGTCGAGTGCGCGTGCCTGTGTTGTTTGTGTGCGTGTGTTGTTTGTGTGTGTGTGTGTGTGTGTGCGCGCGAGCACGCGCGTGCAGGATATCTATTGCCTGTCACTACTGGATCAGACCCCTTTTGCTTCCCCAGTATTGTCTAATGTTTGATGCCCTTCCCAACCCCCCAGTACCTCTGCCCCAGGAGAAAATCCTCTAAAAGGAAGGTTCAGATCACCATGATTTGGGAAAGGAAATCACCTGACCTCAAGAGCACAACTCAGCCCACAGGCTGCTCCCACCTTGGCCTCCACTCTAGTCTCTGGGATATTCTGTCTAGCTTTACTAACTAGATTGGAGTTTTGATAAATAAAACTTGCTCAAATTGTCTCATAACTGAATTCATTCCTTCAAGATCAGAACCAAGAGGCATCCCCTCCAGTATCTGTCCAAATGTCTATAAGGACTTTATTTCTTTCAGTAACCCTAAAAGACGGTTTATTATTCTCTTGTGTAGAGGAAGAAACCAAAGGCTGTGGTTTAGAAATAAATTGCCTAGCATGTGCAAGGACCTAGCATTGAAAACATTTTCAAATTAGGTTTTGTGGCACATGTCTGTAAGTTCAGTATTTAGAAGGCTGAATCAAGAGGATTCTGAGTTCAAGGTCAGCCTGCGCTAAAAAGTGAGCACCTGTTTCAAAAGAAAAACAAACAAAACCCAGGTTTGTTAAGTTGAATGACTTCCCAGGGTTTGACAGGAAGTATCAATAAGAATTTGAAACTGGCTCTTCAGCTTCCAAGGGCTGGGAATTTAAATTGGTGGCAGAGCCCTTGCCTAGAGTTTTCATTCCTAGTGCTGCAAGAAAACATACAAATATGCCGGGCGTTGGTGGCGCACTCCTTTAATCCCAGCATTCAAGAGGCAGAGGCAGGTGGATCTCTGCGAGTTCGAGGCCAGCCTGGTCCACAGAGTAAGTTCCAGGACAGCATCCAAAGCAATTCAGAGAAACCCTGTCTCGAAAAACTAAAAAACCAAACCACAACAAAAACATACAAATAGCCATGGTTATTTGTGAACCCATTTCTTCAGCCCCTATCTGCTGTTTCCCGGACTGCCAAAAAAAGCCCACTTCTCAGAAAATAGTTTACCTAATGCAACGTAAATCATTGGCCCTGGTGTTTCCTAACCACCCCAGAGGCGGCAACCATGTAGCATGTGCACTTTCTGCTCTGCCATCCCATCATGCTTGAGTCCCTTGGCTTCCCTGCCCCGGGAATCTGACCACTTACCTTATCTAGCAGCTCCTGGCGGGTGGCAGCTGTCAGTCCCTTCCGGACTGTCCGCTTGTGATCACAGATGCGGAAAGGTCGCTGAGGTGGTGGGGCTGAGTTCCAGACCCTACGGCCAAGCTCAGAGCCCATAGTGGAAACTGACCTGGTAGTTGGGAAGAAAACAGAAGGGACAATGAGGGGGCTGGTAAATTTAGTGATAATGATGGGGGTTGGGTGGCTAAGAGGATCTAGGTTTACAGATAGGAGAGACGATGGAGCCAGAACCAGAGTAGTTAGTTTACGAGTTGGAGAAAACTGTAGTGAGTCTTCCGGTGGCTGAGTTTTGCCTTGCCTGCCCGTATCCCCAGAATTGACGTATAAAGAAAAGTTGGAAATCACCTCAGCAGGCCGTTGGGGTTCAAGGCTGAAAGGTACTCCATGGAAAAGGCCGGAGTAGGTGAGCTGCTTCCCTGTGCCTCTGGGGCTGTGTGCGAGCTGCTTTCCTGTGCCTCTGGGGCTGTGTGCGTCTTGTTGTTCTGAGGCTTACGTATTGCCTCTGTGTAAAGCTGGGAGTTTAGCTTTGGTGAAGTCAAGCTTGGACTCTGTCCCCCTTTGCCTGGTGAGTTAGAGGGGCAAAGTCTAAGAGGAGGAGGAGCCTATGTGGGGTTCTGGAAGTACCTTGTTTGTGTCTCTTTAGAGATGTGTTGTGGAGGATGACATTTGATATCTGATTCTCCCCTCCCCCTTACCCAAGTACAGTTTTACTTTGTAGTCTAGGTTGGCCTCCTTGAACTTCAGATCTTTGTATTTCAGCTCCTAAATGCTAGAATAGTTTCTGTCCCTCGGGCTCAGAGATGGGCATTCAATGTGAGTCCTAATGACTGTGCTGCCACCTACTGGAAAATTATAAACTGCAGCTTTTGGAAAAGACTGGAAGCTTGTAAGGTTATAGGATGGGGAGAAGCAGTGGGTGATTGGAAGAAGCCTGGAGAAAATGGAAGGCGGGGCAGTGTGTCTAGGAATGGTGTGAGGAGAGGCTGGGTTCTGATCTACAGACCAGCATCATCGGATCCCGTCTGGGATTCTGGCCCTCCTGCTTACCTCCTTCTTGGTTGGAGAAGGATTAGCTAAACTTTTTTTCTGGCTTCATTCTCCAGAAATGCCTGCTTTAGTTAGTGGCCATGAGCAGACACTGCTCTAACCTTGGGAATCATATTCATCTTTTTTTCTTTTCTTTTCTTTTTCTCTTTGAGAAGGGTTTCTCACAGGCCTGGAGACCATCAAGTTAGTTAGGATGGCTGCTCAGGGAGCCCTAGAGATTCCACCCATTTCCATCTGCCAGCATTGGGTTACAAACCATGCACCGCTGAACTCAGGTCTTCATGTTTGTATGGCAAGGACATGTTGACTGAGCCCCTACCCAGCCCAGGGGCTTTACTTTCGGTGTTCCAGGCTTCATCTCTGATTCTAGTTGTAGCTATGATGGGCAACTGACAAAACTGAGGTTCACTGTTAGTCCTTAAATGAACACAGTCCCTGTTTTCCTGCCTGGGAGTCTCCTAGTCTCTCCTAGTTCCCCAGCTTTCTGTGTCCAGAGAAACACAAAGTGCCTGGACAACCTTGTGATCTACCACCTTCATTTCCCATGCAGGCTGGCGCCCCCTCTGGCCTTTTTCAGGCACCAATAAAGGGCAAACATAGGGGCATTAACACCTCTAGGATGGTCTCCCAACAATGAAGTGTGCCTCTGTCTTCTGCCTGGGGTGTTCTGTGTACCCCCGGGGTTAAGAGGGCCACTGACAGAGTGCAATGAAATGGCTCTCCTCTTACTGATTTTTTTTCAAGACAGGGTTTCTCTGTGTAACAGCCCTAACTGTTCTGGAACTCGCTCTGTAGACCAGGCTGGCCTTGAACTCACAGTGATCTGCCTCACTCTGCCTCCCGAGTGCTGGAATTAAAGGAGTGCGCCACCATCACCCAGCCTGGTCTTTTTTTTTTATAATTTATTTATTTTTATTTTATATGCATTGGTGTTTTGCCTGAAAGTCTGTGTGAGGGTGTCAGATCCCTTGGAAGTTACAGACAGCTGTGAGCTGCCCTTTGGGTGCTGGTCCTCTGGAGGAGCCACCACTGCTCTTAACCTCTGAGCCATCTCTCCAGCCCCCTCTTCCTGATCTTTACACGCTCCCTTACTCCTATGTTCTATGATCCCCCAAATGCATTGCAAGCTCCTTACGCCTACACGTATAGCGTATTCCCCAGGACAGAGCATCGTGTCTTGCACTGAAACGTTGTCGCTGACAACAGTAATAACTGGAGGAGGGAGGGACTCTGACAGGCTCAAAAACAAGAACAAAGAACAAGACTAAAGCAGAAGAGAAGGAAGCCTGGCAGGGACAGGAGGCTGAGAACAGCAGAGAGAGAGAGCGGCTAGGAAAGCAGGTTGCTCGGGTCTCCTGCGTTGACTGCAGGCCAAGGAGGCTAGAGAACTAAAATCACAGAAGGTGGGCTGGAAGGGCTGGGACCAGCCAGAGTGGGGAGGAGATGTCTGGCAGCTGTTAGCAGAGAGCTCCGACTCTTCTCATGGCCCCAGTGCTTCCCTGCACCTTCCGGCCTGGCCTGATCCTATTTGCTAGGGAGGCTGGCTTCAACATGCCTGAGCCTGTCAGTGATGGGAAGGAGTAGGATGAAGGAGGGCCCAGGAAAGGTCGGGGATAAGCACCATCTTGTCCCTCCTCATTCTTGCCTCATCCTCTGCAAATGTGACAGGCAGGAGGCAGGATTAGCTACCTCATCCACTGCAGCTTCTCCCGTCAGCCTCCCTAACTAAACCTCTCTGGACCCATCGCTGTTCTCTCCCAGCTGGGTAAGTGGTGGATCTGCTCACTCTGCTTTACTCCCTTTGCCTTGAGGTTTAAAGAATGGGACTGGATAAAGAGAGGGTTATGCCAGAAGGTCAGAGGTGGAGACAGATACTGTCTGCCGCGAGGACTGGGGAACGCCAGCAGCCTCTGGGAACTTGCCAAGAGCAGGGAAGAGCAGCTGACTGGGACAGGGGCCACAGGTTCTAAGGAGTTGTTTGAATTGGCTTCCTGGAGAGAAGACACAGACAAGATGCAAAGAAGCTAGGGTGGGGTGGGGTGGCATCAGAGGTAGTGTGGGCCTTTCCCCCATCTTGAATGCCCCACCCCGTGGATTCTTGCAGCCCCCTTGTAGGAGGATGTCTGTCTGCTACCATCCACCCGGGAATGAGACGCTGCTGAGCTGGAAGGCCTCGCGGGCCACCGGTACCGCCTTCCTGCTGCTGGCCGCACTGCTGGGACTGCCGGGCAACGGCTTCGTGGTGTGGAGCTTGGCGGGCTGGCGGCCCACGGCGGGGCGGCCGCTGGCGGCCACACTGGTGCTGCACCTGGCGCTGGCCGACGGCGCGGTGCTTCTGCTCACCCCGCTCTTTGTGGTCTTCCTGAGCTGGCAGGCCTGGCCCCTGGGCCAGGTGGGCTGCAAGGCTGTGTACTACGTGTGCGCGCTCAGCATGTACGCCAGCGTGCTGCTCACCGGGCTGCTCAGCCTGCAGCGCTGCCTAGCTGTCACTCGGCCCTTTCTGGCTCCCAGACTGCGCAGCCCGGCCCTGGCCCGCCGCCTGCTGCTGGGGGTCTGGCTGGTCGCCCTGGTGCTCGCCATCCCGGCCGCCGTCTACCGCCACCTCTGGGGCGATCGCGTGTGTCAACTGTGCCACCCATCGGCGGTGCACGCCGCTGCTCATCTGAGTCTGGAGACCCTCACTGCCTTCGTCCTGCCTTTTGGGACAGTGCTCAGCTGCTACGGCGTGACTCTGGCGCGGTTGCGGGGCGCGCGCTGGGGCTCGGGGCGACGCGGCACGCGGGTGGGTCGTCTGGTGAGCGCCATCGTGCTGGCCTTCGGCTTGCTCTGGGCCCCCTACCACGCGGTCAACCTCTTGCAGGCGGTGGCCGCGCTCGCTCCGCCGGAAGGGACCCTGGCCAGGCTTGGCGGGGCGGGCCAGGCGGCGCGCGCTGGGACTACAGCCTTGGCTTTCTTCAGTTCCAGCGTCAACCCGGTCCTCTACGTCTTCACTGCGGGGGATCTGCTGCCCCGGGCGGGGCCCCGGTTCCTTACTCGGCTTTTCGAGGGTTCTGGGGAGACCCGAGGGGGCAGCCGCTCTAGGGAGGGTACCATGGAGCTCCGAACTACACCTAGGCTGAAAATTGTGGGGCAGGGCAGGGGCAATGGAGACCCTGGAGGCGGAGGCAGGATGGAGAAGGACAGTCAGGAATGGTAGCCAAGACCTCAAACCTCCGGGCTCTCCTACCGCTTTCCATTGTTCCTTGAGCTCTAGGGTACTTGGGGACGGACTCTTCTCCGATGGCAGTTTGGGTTTGACTGGACAGGATTACTCTATAAACCCAGATTACTCCAAACCACGGGATTGTGAGGGTGACTGTGGCCCATGTTCAAAACTGGTACTTGCAGTACGGCCTGGATTGCTTACATGTTTCCAGCAGCTATTCTTGTGATAATACACCGGGAAGCCATTGGCTGACGGCTGAAATATTGGCGGCTCATCATGCCGGCGTTGCACTGAAGCCACCTCATTCTCCACTGGGACAGGCCAGGATGGGACAGTGCCAGCCTTCGGTGGCTTTTTCTGCCCTGCCTCCTGAACCTGGTTACCTGTTTCCCCAGGTCTGTCTCTAGAACCACTGAGAAGTTTGGATGGGGGTGAATAAAATTTATTCTTAGAAGTCTGTAGGAGGAGCCGAGCGTTGGTGGCGCACGCCTTTAATCCTAACACTTGGGAGGCAGAGGCAGGCGGATCTCTGTGAGTTCGAGACCAGCCTGGTCTACAAGAGCTGTTTCCAGGACAGCCTCCAAAGCCACAGAGAAACCCTGTCTTGAAAGACGAAACAAAATAAAACAAAACAAACCAAGAAGCCTGTAGGAGGAAGAAAGTGGCCACTACGGGGAGTAAATCTGTGCAGTGTGAAAAGAAAATGTTCTGGTCAGCACGGTGAGCACAGCGAGAGGGAGGCGCATGACCGGATATGTTTCAGGAGCCTGGGACTACAAGACTTAACTTTCCCTCTGACCCTCTGCTCCCCCTGTGCCCCCTCTAAAGGCCACCAGGTCTGTGAGCAAGCCCAGGAACCAGCACTTGCTTTACAAGAGGAAGTTTGAGGATTGATGAAGAGGAAGTGTGGCGAATGGCTGGAATATCTGGAAAAAGGAAAGAAACGTTTAGGAAGGTGGCACCTTCCCTTACTCTGTCTGTTGCCTTCCCTCTTACCAAGTGCTGGCTGTTCCCAACCCTTCTCCACTACTTCCCAGCCTCCAACTTTGGAATCTCCCTATTATCAGATTTAGAACCCCAAAGACACTTTTGATTTGGGGACAGTAGAATGCAAGTTTTTTTTTTCTTTAGGGGACATCATGGATGCACACATGACCAGTCCATCCTCATTGTCTCAGAACATTCTTACTAGCCCTCAAAATTTCCTGTCCCTAGACCCATCTGTCCCCAGCAGACTGAGCTAGTTGACCTCCCAAGTGGTTACTCTGGGCTCTACTCCAATGTTTCTCTCATCCTTCAGGCAGAGGTCAACAGAAAAAGAAGGAAAGCCGATCTCTAGGCTCATGCTAGGAGCCCGGAACCGGGGTTGAAATGACCTCTGAACTAGAGAGGAAGCATGCTTAGGGTGCCCAGTCTCTGGAGGATAGGCCACTCCACAAGGAATTTGAAGCAGTCTGAGGGGAAGTGCAGCTCAGCCCACTGTCTGTTTGGAAGGGCTCCGGTTGGCCTCGGAGCTCTGATGCAGAGGCTTCTCTCTGTAAACAGAGTTCTTGGTTCCTGAACTTCCCCCATCACAAACGCTTCACCTTACACACCCGTGTGGTCAGAGAGCTCTTCCTCAACTCTGCCTTTAGTTCACGATGTGGTTTCAGCCTCTTTTTCATCATATCCTCTGCTTGGCAGTTACTGGGTCATGGCTGATCTGGCTTTTCTCAATGTACAGCAAGTGAGGGCGCTGGAAAGCATAAGGAGCCTCGGTGGCCGCCATTGTGCTTTTCATCTTTCCTGGTAAGCAACAGGCTGAAGGAACGCGTTCTTGGGAGATTGCCGAGGGAGCTGACATCCTTTCTTTCGCGGACGGATGCTTTAGAGGCTGTTTATCTGTTCCCAGTCTTTAAATTTTTTTTTTTTTTTGAGACAGGGTTTCTCTGTGTAAAAGCCCTGGCTGTCCTGGAACTCACTCTGTAGACCAGGCTGGCCTCGAACTCACAGAGATCCACCTGTGTCTGCCTCCGAGTGCTGTAATTAGAGGCGTGTGCCACCCCCCCTCTTTGCACAACCTTAGGTGCTTTTGTTTGTGGCAGGGCTGGAGTGAGGAGGTGTCGCTGCCCGCGTGGCGTGCCACGGCGTCTGCTCTTCATTGTCAGCGCAGCCTAGCTGAGCCCTCGTTTTCTCTGTCCCAGTTGAAGCTAGGTGGAGTGGGGCGATTCAAGGCTGTCGGGGACGGACGTAGGACTTGGCACCCATCTTGCCTAGCACCCCCTGAGAAAGTCCAATGGGGGTGCTACACGGCCAAGTGGTAGCGGAAGGAAAGAAATCCGTTATTTTGTGTTAGAAAGGAGATCACTTAGACTTTGACTTCTCTCAAAAAGAATGAGGAGTTGGCTACCCTGTCATGGGAGGTGCTGGAGATGGCTTCTCCCAGTATCCACACCAAGACTATTGTTTGGCCCGAAGTCAAGAACAGGTTGCTTCCCCTTCATTCATTTCTGGAACATTCTCACTGATATCCCCCACCCTCGGTGTGTGTCCGTCTGTCTCTCTGAGTCTCACATAGCCTACGATGGCCTTGACCCTAATATGACGTTTTTATATCATGATGTTACCTAACCCACAACAATACATAGAGTTTTTATATCATGATGTTACCTAACCCACAACAATGCATAGAGCATCAACTTATGTTTCCCATTAATCTAAAAACTATGCTATGTGTACATTTTTTTTTTTTTGGTTTTTCAAGACAGGGTTTCTTTGTATTGTTTTGGAGGTTGTCCTGGAACTCGCTCTGTAGACCAGGCTGGCCTTGAACTCACAGAGATCCACCTGCCTCTGCCTCTGCCTCCCGAATGCTGGGATTAAAGGCGTGTGCCACCAATGCCCGGCTATCTGTACATTTTAAACATCAGATACAAAGGTAATTTTTAAACCAGCAGTTTCATTCTGAGCCCTGCTTTCTTCTCCTATGATATAATCCATAACTTTGTTCACCTCTCTAGTCTAGACCTGCATTTTTAGACCACACCCCAGCCAACTCCCTCCTGGCACCCCTCTTTCCTAGCTCACTGTCTTTTCCTGGGTACTTCTCATTTAGCTCCACCCAAGGAGTGAGTCTTCCTCCCTCTGGGCCACTCTGGAACACAAAGATTGTCCCTCCCTAACAGTGAGGGAGGGTGTGGGGTTTTGTTCAGCCTCACCCTCAGGAAGATGCATCTTCCCCCTCTTCTGCTCTGTGGTACTTCCTCTCTGGCTGATTTAGTCGGCAGACTTAGAAGTGAGACCAAGACCCTAGCACTGGGACAGATCCAAGAATTGTCTGTCCCACGACTCTGCCCTGAACCTAGACGTGGCATCTGGAAAACCTTGTAAGTATCCTAGGAACTGGATGGTGTGTGTGTGTGTGTGTGTGTGTGTGTTTGAGTGTGAATGTGAGTGTGTGAGTGTGTAAGTATGACAGGAGTAACTTGGAGAAATGGTGAGAAGGAATCTTCAAGGACAGCCCGAGCACTGTAAAAGGACTGTTCTCAGGTCTGTCTATGAATTAACTCCTCCCTGTCCCGCGTCTTCCTGGTGCTCTGGTCAGCTCTGGAGAGAGTGAGTAGGTTGGGAGAATGTCGTGTGCTAAGTGGATAGATGTCTCTCAGGAGACAGAAGAGCTAGCCTTTCATGGGTGCAGCTGTGGAGAAGACAATCTTCCAGTCTGGTGCTGGGTTCCAGGGTCTCACAGGGGGAAAAGGGTCAACCGCCACTGTTGCTGTATATTTTGCAACTGGGTCTGTGGCAAAGAAGGGGCCCCAGAGTCCAGTTAGGAAATTAGTCTTTCTGTTCAACCAGGTCCCTTGAAGACAATGAGGTTGACAGTGATGGCGTGGTGTGTATTTGGAGGTGCCTCTGAAACTTCTGATTTTGGAAATCAGAGTACTCATGCTAGTGAGTGTGTGAGTGTCAAGAATCCTTCGGCTTTCTCCTCATGGGTGTGCCTACTTTCTACTCTCTAGGTCCTTCTGATGGCTCCAAACACTACATCTCCTGCAGCAGCTTCCTCTCCTGGTGGCATGTCTCTGTCTCTGCCTATTGTCTTACTGTCTGTGGCCCTGGCTGTGGGGCTTCCTGGCAATATCTTTGTGGTGTGGAGCATCCTGAGAAGGATGCAGAAACGCTCTGTCACCGCCCTGCTGGTGCTGAACTTGGCTCTGGCCGACTTGGCTGTGTTGCTCACCGCTCCCTTTTTTCTACACTTCCTGGCTCAAGGCACGTGGAGTTTTAAAGTGACCGGTTGCCGCCTGTGCCACTATGTTTGTGGAGTAAGCATGTATGCTAGTGTCCTGCTTATCACCATCATGAGTCTGGACCGCTCATTGGCGGTGGCCCGCCCCTTTATGTCCCAGAAGGTGCGCACTAAGACGGTTGCCCTGTGGGTGTTGGCAAGCATCTGGTTGGTGTCTTTTCTGCTGGCCACACCGGTCATTGCGTACCGCACAGTAACGCAGAACAACAGGACTCTGACTCTGGTCTGCCAGCCGGATTACCCCAGCGACGGGCATCGGGCCTTTCACCTGCTCTTTGAAACCATCACGGGCTTCCTGCTGCCCTTCTTGGCGGTGGTGGCCAGCTACTCCGACATCGGACGCAGGCTGCAGGCTCGGCGCTTCCGCCGCAGTCGCCGCACCGGCCGCCTGGTGGTGCTCATCATCCTGGCCTTCGCCGCCTTCTGGCTGCCTTACCACCTGGTGAACCTGGTGGAAGCGGGCCGCGCGCTGGCGGGCTGGGACAGGGACGACTCCGCGGGCAGGCGTCTGAAGCTGGCTCGTTACGTGCTCATCGCGCTGGCCTTCCTGAGCAGCAGCGTGAACCCGGTGCTGTACGCGTGCGCGGGCGGCGGCTTGCTGCGCTCAGCGGGCGTGGGCTTCGTAGTCAAGCTGCTGGAGGCCACCGGTTCCGAAGCGTCCAGCACCCGCCGCGGTGGCACCCTGTGCCAGACCCAGAAGTCCACACCCGCCTGCCCTGAGTCAGGCCCCACCGACAGCTTCATGACCTCCTCCAACCCCTCCTGAGTGAAGTGAACTGTCGAGGGCTGGGTGGAAAGACATTCATAGCTCTGGCCTGACCCACTTCTGTATCTGGATCAGAACAGGTTGGGGACTGGGCTCAAGCGGAAAAGAGGGAGGGGTGAGGCGAGTCAGGGCAAAGAGACAACATGCTCTGGCCTGGCTTCTGAGGCATCTTTACGATTAAAACTAAATTCTCAAATCAGGTTAAGCCTGTGAATGAGGTGCACGTTGTGCGGCGCTGGGGGTGTTTATTGGTGCTAGGGGGTACCACTCTGGTGGGGTCCCTCACAACGGTTCTTTAGTTCCCCGCGGTTCACAATTTTGGAAGGATCACATGGGCAGATATACTCCTAATTCTCATTGCTTCAGCGCCATGACTCAGGGGGCCTTCTGAGAAAATCAGTTCTTGTGAAGTGGCTTCCCAGAAGTCCGTGGTAAATGTCCTTGATGGCATAACCCTAACATCCTCGCAGGAGAGTTCTGGGAGATGGCTTTCCTTCTCTCCATCTCCCAAGGAAGTCTCACTGGGGACTCGGGCATCAGATCCCATCTGAGTACCTGCCATCCCCCAGAAGCCACCACCTGGGACCCCCACCCTGTACAAGATATCTCAGAATGACAGGCCTAGGAACACAGTTCTGGAAGACACTGCCATTGAGGAGCAAGGAGGTGGCTTCCAGCTACACTGGCAGCTTCTGACCCACAGGCTGATTCAGATGCCTCGTAGACATTTTATTGAAGATCTTAGAGGACGGGTTTGAGGTGCCTACGGGGCTGAGGGAGATCCGGTTCTTGTCAGGTCTGTGTTCAGGAAGTAGGTACAAAGTTGCCCTTTGCCTTTGACCTTGATGACACCCCGGCTGTAGCATGTATAACCCAGGGATTGCAGGGCTCGAGCTGTCTCCTCTGTCACCTGCAATTGGAGGAGGGGTAAGGGAATGCAGGGTAGCCTTATCTCTGTCCCCTCCCCCATGCCTCCAACATAGTTCTCGCACTTGAATCTTGCCAAGAACTCCCGTACTCTCCATGCGGCTGGCCACGTTCACTGTGTTCCCCCAGATGTCATATTGTGGCTTCTGTGCCCCAATCACTCCTGCTACAACTGGTCCGTGGTTCAACCCTAGTAAGAAATGTGGTAATGAGGGACTTTGATGGGGGCGGACTTTGAAGAAGAAGATTAAGGAAGATAGAAGGTCAGGTGGTTTTTTTGGTTTTGGTGTTTTTTTGTTTTTTGAAACAAGGTTTCTCTGTGTAGCCTTGGCTGTCCTGGAACTCACTCTGTAGACCAGGCTGGCCTCGAACTCACAGCGATTCGCCTCACTCTGCCTCTGCCTCTCAGGTGCTGGGATTAAAGGCATGTGCCACCACTGCCGGGCCTGGTCAGGTGGTTTTTATAAGAGAGTTTTTGGGGTTGGAGGATTAGGGGAGGAAAGGGCGAATCTTTAGCTCTTAGACTAGCAGCTTTATGCTTCAGCCAAGAGAGTAAGTCTGGAGAGGGGGTCCAGGGATGAGCTGGAGAGCAGCTAATGAGGGTCTTAGAGAGGGCAGAGGAGGTACCACATTGCCCCAGCAAAGGAGGCCCCTCACCCACACGCAGGCGGAAGTTGTTGAATGAGTGTTTGTTGATGACATCCAGCTTAGATCCCAGGGCCACTGCAAACTCCACCATGGTGCCCAGATGGCTGCAGCTTCGATCTGCATCCTGGTAAACAAGTCCACACACCATGATGGGCGCAGAAATAAGTCCAACTCATGAAGAAGCCCGCCAATGGAAGCCCCTAGGAGGGGTGACGGGAGGGTCGCTGTACCTGCTGTGTGTCCTGTCCAGAGGTGGCGTTCAAGCCCGTGGCTGCCATGTAGGTGCTGCCGATAGTTTTGATCTTCTCTACCCCACTGAACTTCGGTTTGGAGAGCAGCTGTAGAGAGAAGAGGCCGTGTCTCCCCTCTCCATTGCTTTCACCTTCCCTTCTCCAAAAAGCCTGCCCCAGGCCTTTGCAGCTAAAGCAGCAGGCTAGAAGTAGTAGTGGGAAGGAGATGGTTGAAGAGAAAGAGCGGGGTGGGGGGTGGACAGCGAGGGCTGGAGATGCTGGGGAGTGGGCGTGGCCAAAAGGTCAGGAGAGCAGAGTGGAAGGAGAAGGGATGGGAGAACCCAGCTTGGCACGCACCTCATCAAAATCAGCAATTATCTCGTTGAGCAGCCGCAGACACTCCAGACCCTCATGGTTGATGTTAGACTCAGAGTAGAATTCCTTAAAGTCCGGGACCGATGCAAAGAGGACACACACACATTCGTAGGACTGGTGGTAGAGGTCCTGCGAGCAGGAGGAATGGGGAGACGCTTGGCCCGCAGCCCCATGCTTCACCCAGGGAGTGAGTCTGAAGAGGGCTGAGTCAGGGGGCTCACCACTCAGGGTGTGGGGGAGGCAGCAAAATGACCCAATTTACTTTTTTGGAACTAGTGTTTTTTGAATGAATTTATTAACGTGTGTGTGTGCGCGTGCGTGTGTGTGTGTGTGTGTACATGCCACAGCATGCGTGTGACGCTCAGAGGACAACTTTCGGGAGTTAGTTCTCTCCTTCCACCTTTATGTGTTCCAGGTTATGAGGCCTTCTTTACCCCCTGAGCCCCAGAGAACTGAATTTTTGTTTAATTAATTAAAATGGGCTTGAATGGACAGATGGGTAAGTTACCATATCGGATATTGTAGAACTAGAGGGACGGGTGACACTCTTCAGACAATTCACACCACCATTTGACTAGGGCTTCTGAAAGGTGTGACATGGCCGTGATGTGGAAAGATGCCCCCTGCCCCGCCCTTCCTCCCGGCCATGGGCCTCCTGCATGGTAGGCAAGCTCTACTACTGAGATGCTACTCCAGAAGAGATGTTCCTTCTAAACAGAAGCTCGAAGCACAGATTTTGTGGCCACCAAGGGCGAAGCCCAAGGTTATGCTCTGACAGTCCCAGTGGCATGTGCGCCTCTGGGGTGTGGGGTTGGGAGTCACCTCATTGCGCCGGTTCTGGCCGATGAACTGGGGGGCCACATGTGCCGGGAGCACATTCTCCAGGAGGAGCCGGGTCAGGTTCTCCATTGTCTCGGTCTCCTCTCGCTCCTGCCTCAGCTTCTTCTTCCACAGGAAATCCAGGCGGCAGTAGTACTCATTCTAGGGTAATAGAACAATGCCCAATACCCCCCATCCCGCTTAGAGATAAGGGTTAAGGCACAACTGTCCTGGAGAGAGACGGCTTTTAAGGTCTATTTCAAATTAGGTTCTGTAGAATGAGCAGCGGGCATTTTTCACAACCATGGTTTTTCTTAGATATGGGGGGAGGAGAGGAGCGATGGTGAGAACCTGAGTGATTTGGAGAGTGAAGAAGTAAGAAATAGAGTTGGAACACTCTCTCGGAAGTTTCCGTGGCCCTATTACTTGGACTCAGCCCTGGAGATGAGACAGACAAATTACCAATATGGGGGCCCAGCCCCTGCCATTCACAGGGAGGCCCTGGAGGACTGACTGAGATGTACCTGCCGAGCCAGGACGAGGAGCGTAAAGAAGAAGATGGAGAAAGAGATGGCGCCCATCAGTTTGGGTTCCTTCAGCACCCCTGGCCTGAGGGATCAGAATCAAGATCATTCCTTGCCCTGCCCCTCCCTGATCGCATCCTTCCCGCTCCCAGTGCCCAGAGCCCCCGAGACCCACCCCCTATGCCTTGGGGTGCTTGGGCCTGTGAGACAAGGAAGCTCTGCTGAGCCCTGTCTTAGTCACAGCCTCGAGGTCTTGGGTAGGCGTGTCCTGTGATTGGGCTAACCTGGGGTCCAAAGGACTTCGATAGAGGTGGGCGATGAGGCAGTCGGACAGCCAGGCGTGGGAGTGCAGAAATAGGGAACAGGATGCCACCAGCCACAGCAGAAGCAGCAGGAGTTTCAGTTCGAAGCTCATGTGCAGAAAAACGGAACAGGAGAGGAAACCCAGCACGCAGCAATGCATGGAGTACTGTGGGGCCGGGCAAAGTGGTCAGAGGTGTCCCCAGATAGTTCTGGAAGAAGGCCCAGGGTTTCTGTTCTCCCAGGGCACTGGGCACATTGGGCATATCGGGATGACATTCATGAAAACAGACACTAGATATGAATAGTGTCTTGGGTGGCGTGCTCTTCAGCTTATGAGTTGGTGGGCTGGTGAGGAAGAGTGCGGGGAAGGAGACCCAGGGCCGTACAGAAACACTCACTGGGATACTGATGAGAGGCAGGGATCCTGGCAGCTCCCAGGAAGCGTTGAAAGCCATGGAAGATGCGTTGGAAGCCAGGAAAAGGCAGTCTGATGACACTGGCAGGAGGAGCTGCAGGAGGAGATGGACTGAGGGCAGGTAAACTCCTTGGGTCCAGGGGAGGCTTCAGTTGGGTTGCAGCTGAGCTAGGGATGGGTTAAAGCCAGACTCCTATAAAGGGCATTTCTGCTACTTCTGATTGGTGAGAGGGCTTCAGACAGGACCTTACTGGCAAGAGGGACTGTGAGAAATGTCATGAATACTAGTATATTATCAAACCAGTGTCAGCTCTTGCCAACTACTCAGCCTCTCTAGGCCTCCTTCCTTCCTTCCTTCCTTTCTTCTTTTCTTCCTTCCTTCCTTCCCACTTCTCTCCCTATCTCCCTCTCCCTCTCTTTCTTTCTCTCTCTCCCTCCCTTCTTCCCTCCCTCCCTCCCTCCCTCCTTCTCTTTCTCATTTGGCTGGGGAATGATTCCTATTGAATTCTAGGAACAATTATATTTTCTGTAAACTTCAGCCAAGTAAGCTAAGAATAATGTATGCCTATAGAGGAAAAAGATAGAAAGGGCATTCAGTGAAGTGTTAACAATGAGGGTAGGATACACACACACACACACACACACACACACACACACACACACACCCCTCCCAGCATCCATTGATCTTTCTTCAACTGTCATTCTAGATCCAGGGATTCCCTTTCAACCCGACAGGTCCAGTATGCCCTGATGATGGGAGACAGAACCCCTCTCCCCTGTTTTGTCCTCACCAGGCTGGCGATGGCCATGGTGAACACCAGGAGGATAGTGGCAGTGCCCAGGGCTACTCGAAGTCCTGGCCGTGTAGTTACCAGGACAGACAGTGCAGGCAGCCAGTGCAACATTTTGGGACCTTTCTGGATACACTTCTGTGGGAGGAGGACAGGGGTCATGGCTG